GGAATAGACTCTGAGGTGTCTCTGTTTGCAGATGACGTGAAGTTGATGAGAAGAATTCATTCGGTCGAAGACCAGGCAGAACTACAAAGGGATCTGGACAGGCTGCAGACCTGGTCCAGCAATTGGCTACTGGAGTTCAACCCCACCAAGTGCAAAGTCATGAAGATTGGGGAAGGGCAAAGAAGACAGCAGACGGAGTACAGTCTAGGGGCCAGAGACTACAAACCTCACTCAAGGAAAAAGATCTTGGGGTGAGTATAACACCAGGCACATCTCCTGAAGCGCACATCAACCAAATAACTGCTGCAGCATATGGGCGCCTAGCTAACCTCAGAACAGCATTCCGACATCTTAATAAGGAATCGTTCAGGACCCTGTACACCGTGTACGTTAGGCCCATATTGGAGTATGCGGCACCAGTTTGGAACCCACACCTAGCCAAGCACGTAAAGAAACTAGAGAAAGTGCAAAGGTTTGCAACAAGACTAGTCCCAGAGCTAAAAGGTATGTCCTACGAGGAGAGGACACTGGAGGACAGGAGAGATAGGGGGGACATGATAACGACATACAAAATACTGAGAGGAATTGACAAAGTAGACAAAGACAGGATGTTCCAGAGATTGGACACAGTAACAAGGGGACACAGTTGGAAGTTGAAGACACAGATGAATCACAGGGATGTTAGGAAGTATTTCTTCAGCCACAGAGTAGTCAGCAAGTGGAATAGTTTGGGAAGCGATGTAGTGGAGGCAGGATCCATACATAGCTTTAAGCAGAGGCACGATAAAGCTCACGGTTCAGGGAGAGTGACCTAGTAATGATCAGTGAAGAGGCGGGGCCAGGAGCTTGGACTCGACCCCGCAACCTCAACTAGGTGAGTGAGTACACACACACACACGCACACACACGCGCACACACACACACACACACACACACACACACACACACACACCACACACACACAAACACACACACACACAACACACCAACAAGGCGGGGCCAGGAGCTAGGACTCGACCCCTGCAACCACAAATAGGTGAGTACAAATAGGTGAGTACACACACACACAGAGGGAACAGGGGGGGTGGAGGAGTGGCGTTGCTGATCAAAAATCGCTGGAATTTTGATGAGCTGGAGAGAGGAGACAGCGGAGAAGAAAGTGATTACATAGTGGGAACACTTCACTCTGGAGGTCCCAAGGTGGTAATAGCAGTGATGTATAACCCACCACAGAACAGCAGGAGGCCAAGGCAAGAGTACGACGAGAGCAATAGAGCGATGGTTGACACACTGGCTAGAGTGGCCAGAAGAGCTCATGCATGCAGGGCAAAGCTCCTGATCATGGGTGACTTTAACCACAAGGAGATCGATTGGGAGAACTTGGACCCACATGGGGCCAAGATAATGGAGGGCTAAGATGATGGAGGTGGTACTGGAAAACTTCATGTGCCAACACGTAAGGGACACTACAAGAGAGAGAGGAGAGGATGAACCAGCAAGGCTGGACTTAGTATTCACCTTGAGTAATGCAGATATCGAGGACATCACATATGAAAGACCCTTGGGGCCAGTGACCATGTGGTTTTAAGCTTCGAATACACAGTAGAGCTACAAGTGGAGGGGAGAAGCAGGAAGGCCAGGACGAATGAAGCCATACTACAAGAAAGGGGACTACACAGGAATGAGGAATACCTGAACGAGGTTCAGTGGGACAGAGAACTGGCAGGGAAGCCAGTTAATGAGATGATGGAATATGTAGCAACAAAATGCAAGGAGGCTGAGGAGAGGGTTTTTACCCAAGGGTAACAGGATTAATGAAAAAGCCAGGATGAGCCCCTGGTTCACCCAAAGGTGCAGGGAGGCAAAAACCAAGTGTGCTAGGGAATGGAAGAAATATAGAAGGCAAAGGACCAGGAGAATAAGGAGAACAGTCGTAGAGCCAGAAACGAATATGCACAGATAAGAAGGGAGGCCTAAAGACAATATGAAAATGACATAGCAGCGAAAGCCAAATCTGACCCGAAAAATGTTGTACAGCCACATCAGGAGGAAAACAACAGTCAAGGACCAGGTAATCAGGCTAAGGAAGGAAGGAGGAGAGACAACAAGAAATGACCGTGAAGTATGTGAAGAACTCAACAAGAGATTCAAAGAAGTGTTCACAGAGGAGACAGAAGGGATTCCAGAAAGACGGAGAGGTGGGGCACACCACCAAGTGCTGGACACAGTGCACACAACCGAGGAAGAAGTGAAGAGGCTTCTGAGTGAGCTAGATACCTCAAAGGCAATGGGGCCAGATAACATCTCCCCATGGGTATTGAGAGAGGGAGCAGAGGCGCTATGTGTACCCCTAACAACAATATTCAATACATCTATCGAAACAGGGAGATTGCCTGAGGCATGGAAGACAGCAAATGTAGTCCCAATCTTTAAAAAAGGAGACAGACATGAAGCATTAAACTACAGACCAGTGTCACTGACATGTATAGTATGCAAAATCATGGAGAAGATTATCAGGAGAAGAGTGGTGGAACACCTAGAAAGGAATGATCTCATCAACAGCAGCCAACATGGTTTCAGGGACGGGAAATCCTGTGTCACAAACATGGTGACAGCAGTAAGACAAGAGAGAGAGGGGTGGGTGGATTGCATTTTCTTGGACTGCAAGAAAGGGGTTTGCACAGTTCCACACAAGAGATTGGTGCAAAAACTGGAGGACCAAGCAGGGATAACAGGGAAGGCACTACAATGGATCAGGGAATACTTGTCAGGAAGACAGCAGCGAGTCATGGTACGTGGCGAGGTGTCAGAGTGGGCACCTGTGACCAGCGGGGTCCCGCAGGGGTCAGTCCAAGGCCCCGTGCTTTTTTTTGGTATTTTTTTGAACGACATGAGGGAAAGGGAAAATTAAACCTGAGGTTTTCCCTGTTTGAGATGACGTGAAGTTGATAAAGAAGAATTCACTCGTTTCGAAGACCAGGGCAGAACTACAAAGGGATCTGGACAGGCTGCAGACCTGGCCAGAAATTGGTTTCCTGGATTTTTCAATCCCCCAAGTGCAATGTCAGGGAAGTTTGGGGGAAGGGGCAAAGAAGGCCGCAGACGGGTACACCCCTAGGGGGTCAGAAAACTACGGGACCTCATTTAAAGGGAAAAAGATCTTGGGGTGAGTAAAAAAACCCGGCAAATCTCCCTAAAGGCGCACATAACCAAAAAACTGCTGAAAGATATGGGCGCCTGCAAACCTCAGAACAACATTCCGAATCTTAATAAGGAATCATTCAGGCCCCTGTAAAGGTTATGTTGGGGGCCCTTTTGGGAGAGCGGCCCCAGTTTGGGAAACCCCCCCTACCCAAACCCGGGAAAGGGAAACTTTTAGAATGTGAAAAGGGTTTGCAACAAACTAGCCCCAGATAAGAGGTTTGCCCCTACGGGGAGGGGTTTAAAGGGGAAAATAAAACTGCCCGACACGGGAAAGGGACAGGAGGATAGGGGGGACGGGAAAAACGCCCCATAAAAAAATTCTGGGGAATTGACAAGGGGGGACAAAAAACAGGGGTTTCCAAAATTGGACCCAGTAAAAAGGGGACACAGTTGGAAGCTGAAAAACCACAGCGAATCCCCGGGGTGTTAGGAAGTATTTCTTCAGCCACAGAGTAGTCATAAGTGGAAGGGTTTTGGGAAGCGATTATGGGGCAGGATCCAAACATAGTTTTTAAGCAAGGAAATAAAAAAGCTCACGGCCGGGAGAGGGGCCCTTTGTAGCGATCAGTGAAGAGGGGGGGGCCGGGAGCTGGGAACTCGACCCCCGCAACCTAAAAACTAGGTGAGAAACACACACACTTTTTTAGATTCGGAGTAACCTGGAGCCTTTAAACTACGCTGCTAACGTACGTGTGGGCCCGGGCATTTTCAAAAATTTTTTTCTAACCCTAGGGTGGGCCCGGTCACTCATATCTAGAGTTTTCCCGGAGAGAGTTCCGGGGGGCCCAAAGCTCCAGCGGCCCGGTCTGTGACCAGGGCCCCCCGGGGGTCAGAAACCTGAACAACCAGGCTTTAATGCTGGGGAAAACCAAACCAACCCTACGAGCCACAGCCCCGGGTGGTTTAGGGGAAAAGACTTTTGGGGGCTTGTCCAGTGCCAGCTTGAAAACTGCCAGGGGTCTGTTTGGGCCCCCCCCCCTGTATGGGGAGGCCCTTGAAAAGTCTCGGGGGCCCCCGACCTTATTGTATGGTCTCTTAAAACGTGCTAGTTTACACCCCCTTTTCTTGGGGGGGTTTGCATCCCTCTGCCAAAATCTTTTGCTCTCGAGTGAAAATGAATTTTTTGTTTTTGTTTTAAAATTCCCGGTTTCTAAATCCCCCCTAGGAAATTTTTTGGTTTATAAAATCAGTATTCCCCCCTCCCGCGTTTTCCCGGGGAATTAAAAGGTTTTGGAACCTCAAGCGCTCCCAGTAATGAGGGGTTTTTTTTCTTTCCCTTTCGCGCCGTGAAGGTTTCTGTACTTTTTTAAAGGCAGCCAAATTTTTAAACCCGCCTTGAAAGGTGCTGTTAGTTGGGAGCAAAATTCCCCGCCTAAAATTTGAACAAATGAAACCCGAAAAGTGTCAAACATGGGCTTGGCTTTGTGTCTCTGTACTTAAACTGTTACCGAAACCCCCCCAAATGACGACCAGGAAAGGGCCTTAAACATGGCAGACGACTCCTATATAAGCAATGGTAAGCCCTTCATATACTGCTCGCGGTAATTCCTAAAAATTCCCCGGTAGATGATGTCGCTAAAGCGAGCCATTTGCACACCTTCAAAAAAATAAGTTAGACAAATGCATTGCTTGGGGAATGTTTGGATGTGGGTAGGCTCAGTCTGACCTGGATAAGAAGGCCTACTGTGCAGCTACTGTGGTCTGATGTTGACTACAGCAGACTGGCAGTAAATGCTTCTAATCTGTCGATTTACCGTGATGAGTGTCGAACTTTGTTGCAGCCAGCGTCTACTTACCGTAGTCAGTGTCGACAGCGGGGGTTGCTCTCTTGTAGACGATGTGGAAGCCCTCAGACTCAACGTGTCGACGGCGGCGTCGGAGCAACGTCAGCCCCTCAGGTAAACTGCCGTTGATACCGTTAACGTCTTGCCTGCAACAGGACCCCAACAACAGATGAGTTACAGTCAACTACCACTGCGTTAGTACTGAGGATACACTGACCTGTTTGTCAACAGGATGAAACAGTTATTATTGCGTTAAAGAAAACGCGAATAACAGGACGTTGAAACGGCAAGCAACTGTTATTACTACTTCATCTACACTCAACCACCACAGCAGCAACTATCAGCCACACTCAACCACCACAGCAGCAACCACCATCACCACTTCACTACAACTATCATCCACACTACTCACTACAACCATAGGAACCAGCCATCATCCACACTCACCAGAACCACAGCAGCAACCACAATCCATACCCACCACAACCACAGCAGCAACCATCACCCACAACAATAAGATGTTATCTCCATTGTAAAATAATAAGAAAATATTATAACCTTTATATTATAATAATAAGGTAAAAGGACCCCAATGGAAATAAGTCACTCTGTCTGACTTTTTTGGGTTATCCTAGGTTCTCTACACATATGCTGCTATGTATGATAATTCTATGTAACTGTATTTGTGTATACCTGAATAAACTTACTTACTAACACAGGAGCAACCACCATCCACGCTCACCACACCACAACAACAAACAGCGTGGCAGCTGAGGGAGGGACTACTCACGGTCGTTGTAGGTCTAGGACAGAACCTGTATCCTCGTCGTCGCCCGCTAGTGGCAGACCATCGCTGAAGATCATTTGGTCGTCGAGGTCGTCAAGGAAGAGCTCGTCGTCAGGAGGGGGCAGGTGGTTGGGGCTGACCGCCTCCTCCTCCTGCGTCGCCTGCGGGTACAGATGCGGAGGGAGGGGACGTACCACCAGGTCCTCCCCCACTGTACCGTCCTTCAGAAAAGGGAAGAGAGGGAGATGAGAAAGAATATATAGAAATGCGTATTGTTTTCCCACTCTATTTCGCATTCCTATGTAGGATTACATTCGCTAAGCCCGTAGGTCATGCAGGACTAGGAGAAGAAGGAATGGATGATATATGGAAGTACATGGAACAAACAGTAGAGGATTTGTTAGTTCACACGAGGCTATCTATTGAGAAGAACTATCTACTAAGAAGAGTGCTCACTAAAAGAGGGTCTTGACTCACTAATTAATCACAAAACAGGTTCCAGTACTCTCTTAATAACTAGTGCCAACTACAGACATCACGTTCCTTTTAACAGTTCCTTGATAAAGGCCAGACACATGAGGCACTCTCTTGTGCCACTCTTCCATTGAAAGTGTGTGTATGGAACTGTTTCGCCTCTCTAACTCTCTGTCTTCAGTTCTCCAAGTTATTTCGCTTTTTGTTAAGTACACAAAGTCACAAGCTGCAGACATAGACACAAGCTGCTTAACTAATCTTCCTAAAGCTGTATAGAGCTTTAGGAAGGTTAGTTAAGCAGCTTGTGTCTTGTCTACGTACGTCATATCAACCGCCTCACCCAGGCACAGGATATGTAAACCGTGAAAGTGTATGGCTCTCAGTTTTATTTATATAATATATATATATATTATATATATATATATATATATATTTAATATATTTTATATTTTATATAAACACTGATCTCTGGCCGAAGGAGACTCGAACCTACGAACCTTGGAACAAGGTACGCAGTGCTTTACCATTCTCACCACACTGGACCAATACCTTGGCGCCCCGCTCGCGCTAGACGTTGATCCAAGGCAGCCAGCTTTCAGGGAGAAGGCTTACAGCTTTTCATATCATCCCTGCATGCATATATATATATATATATATATATATATATATATATATATATATATATATATATATATATATATATATATATATATATATATATATATATATATATATATATATATACATATACATACATATATATATAGAGTCTAACCCCTGTTTTCTGTATTCTTCACTGGAGGTGAACAGATTACATGCAACCATAGTGACACATGGTGTAGTCGATAGGCTTTAAGCCCCATTAACCAACCAACCAGGGCACTATGCACTGAGTGCTGTACGTGCACTCAGAGAGGTAACCCTGTTTACCAAACTCCGAACATCACACTTAAATAACATGGTGCGGGAGACAAGACAAGCACCTTCAAGATTGAAGAAAATAAGAAACTATGTATAGGCAACCAGAGACGATGGCCCATGTGAGGGAGCAAAAAACAGGAAGAAATGAAAGGAGGAAGTAAGAAATAATAAAGTACTTGGTAGAAGACCTGGAAATTAATATGTAGAAGAGGGCTTTCATAGACCACGCCCCTCCATAGACCCTCCAACTTCACCATTCAGCCTACGTGACCTGAAGCAGGTAGACCCCGAGTCCTGGCCGCAGGTGTCGCCCTCAAGGGTAACCTGAGACGTCGCCCGGGTCCTTATCACCAGCAGGTGCCCAGGGTACTTATCACCAGCAGGTGCCCAGGGTACTTATCACCAGCAGGTGCCCAGAATACTTATCACCAGCAGGTGCTCAGGGTCTTTCCAGAACCAGGAGGCCAACGACTCGAAGCTGCAGACCAGCGGCAATATGTAACAGAACGACTGCCCAAGGCCAAAGACCAGTTATCAGAGGCCAAAGACCAATTGAAAAAGGCCGAAGACCAATTGTAAAAGGCTGTAGACCAACTGCATGAAGCCGAAGACCAACTGCCAAAAGGTCTTTGTCGGAAACCAAAGAACAATTGCCAGAAGCCGAAGACCAACTGCAAAAGGCTGAAGACAAACTGCATCAGGCTACAGATCAACTGCAGGAGACTGCAGATCAACTGCAGGAGACTGCAGATCAACTGCAAGAGGCTGCAGATCAACTGCAAGAGGCTACAGATCAACTGCAGGAGACTGCAGATCAACTGCAAGAGGCTGCAGATCAACTGCAAGAGGCTGCAGATCAACTGCAAGAGGCTGCAGATCAACTGCAAGAGGCTGCAGATCAACTGCAAGAGGCTGCAGTAAATTTTTACGTCTTGACAAGGAGTCAAATGTTTTCTAGAAGAAAAATAATGCAGTCAACACATTTTTCATCGTGTGTGTGTGTGTGTGTGTGTGTGTGTGTGTGTGTGTGTGTGTGTGTGTGTGTGTGTGTGTCTGGGATGCCCTGCCAGGGGTGGTGTGCTGGATGTCTGGTACTGTGGGCGAGGTTGGGGCAAGGTGGAGGTGGGTGACCCATGTATTGTGGAGCACTGAAATTCTCCTGGCATTTCCTGTCTCGATAAACCCGCCTAGTCACCTCTCCCCCCTTAGTTATGGCACCATCTTCACCATTACCACCACCATCATCATCACCACCACTACCACAACTATCCTACACTTTACGCAAGAAATTAACTACATTTCGGTCTGTCCTAGAGTTATTATTAAGTCGTGAGATACTAGTGGACCAGGACGGAGCAAAACGTCGTCAATGATTCACCCATCTGTGAGTTACTAGTAAATTGTCCCAGTCACAGTACTACCTAGTGCAAGTTACTGAAGGCTATAGTAACTTACTGCAACTTGCTGGAAGTTACTGTGCGTTATCGTAAATTACTACGACGTATTGTAACTTATTGCATGTTAGTGTGACTCATTTCCTGAGGCTCCGAGACCTTCATTTCACTCATCACCTCAGTAAGTGAATAGCAATGATAATAATAATATAATATAATAATAATAATAATAATAATAATAATAATAATAATAATAATAATAATAATAATAATAATAATAATAATAATAATAATAATAACAATAATAAATGTTAGTTCACTATAGCTAGCTGCTTCCTTCCCGCCCACATGCCCATACCTGCCCACACTTCTGTTTGCTAGGTGGTGTGGCTCTTGTTAGGTATCGCAGTTTTGCTAGGTATCTCGACTTTTCCTAGGTATTACGGCTGTAGCTAGGTGCCGTGACGATAGCCAGGTACCGGGGATATAGTTAGGCACCTTGACTTTTATCTAAGGCCATTATCCCACCACGATAACCGATACTAACGATACTCTTTAAGTCACTTGTTCCCTCGAGGTTGAAGTGTCGTTGTATACTAACAGCCACTTTTAAGGCAGGGATGGAGAGCTGGAGAGTGTGCACCCCTCAAGGAAGGTTCCTTGATGTTGGTGAGGGGCTCTTGATTTAGGGAATTGGATCTGTGCTCCAGTTCCCCGAATTAAGCCTGAATGTCTTCTACATCCTCCCCCCAGGCGCTGTATAATCCTCCGGGTTTAGTGCTTCCCCCTTGATTATATAATATAATAATGGAGAGTGTGCAGAGAACCTTCACTACTGGCATAGATTCAGCGAAGCAGTTATAATGTTGGGAACGCTTGAAGTCCCTCGAACTGTATCCGTGAAACGCAACTGAGAAAGATACATTATAATTCACACTTGGGAAGTTCTAGAGGGACTGCTTTCAAATTTGCACACTGGAATCACTCCCTACGAAGGCAAAAGGCTCGGCAGACGGTGCAAAACAGAGGTGCCATGTGTGCACTAAGAACAAGTGGCGGATCTACTATAAATCTATTGAAGCTTAAGTGTCAGGGACTCCTAATCCTGGAGGGGCCCCAGAAGCGACTGTAGTCCACACTGTTTAACAATTTTGGATCTACTGTATAAGAAGGGGTTGCGAAGAGGTCCCCCTAACAGTTCAGGCTTCAGGGCCCCAAAAATGTAGGTCCTCCACTGTTAAGAGTACAGTAAGAGTGAAATGATCAAGAGTTTTCTTCACCCTCCCTTCATGCATCAGATGCATGAAGGGATACTGCCCTGGCTATCCTTGTTCCTGACCAACTGTGATGAATACATTAGACAGCGTGAGGCCAACACTAACAGCTTGGCTTACCAGGGCATCCACTGGGAGGCCTGGTGGGGCCCGGGCCCAAGGACGAGGGCCCGGGTTGATCAACCAGGAGGTATCGTGGCCTGGAGGTGCGTCGGAAGGAACCCGCTGAGGGGGAAAGGAGGTTCGTGAGCCGGGATCCCCGCTAAAGGCTGTCTCACACCCCACAATTTTTCTGCTAGCTCCCGGAAATTTCTCGGCGTAATTCTAAGTTAGACCCCCGCGAGATGACTTAGAGGTCTCGAAGGGTCATTTCTGTTATACAAGGTACAGGTAAGGGCCCAACGGGGAGTGATTGTGCCTTTTTTCCCTTGATAAGGTAGGCAGAGGGAGGGAGGGGAGGGCGTCTTCCCCCGTTAGGTTCCAACGGGGGGTTCGGCCCCTGTTGGGGGAAAGGGTACAAAAGGGCACAGAAAAAAAGAGCTTGTATCCTGAGTGAGGGGTGTAGGGTAATTCAAGGTGTTCTCTTCCTCAATACACTTGAGCATGGCGGGGAAGGACTTGACCCGGAAACTGTAGTTGTTCATTCCCTTCGGAATCGTTCTCATTACCTCCTTCCCAGGAAACGGGCCCCCCTACCTATTTTATTTTATTATTATTTTTATTATTTTATTATTATTTTTATTATTATTTTATATTTTACTACTATACTACTACTTACTACTACACCCAAAAAAATTAAAAATAATTTAAAAAAAATAATATTAATAATAATAAAAAAATAAGACGAAGAAGAAGAAAAAAAGAAGAAGAAGAAGAAAAGAAGAAGAAAAAGAAGAAGAAAAAGAAGAAGAAAAGAAGAAGAAGAAAAAGAAAAAGAAGAAGAAGAAGAAAAAAAAAAACAACAAAACAACAACAACAACAAACAACAACAACAACAACAACAACACAACAACACCAACAAAAAGTAAAATAAGAACATAAGAACATAAGAACGAAGGAACACTGCAGAAGGCCTACTGGCCCATGCGAGGCAGGTCCAAGTCTCCTACCGTCTTAAGCCAATCACCCAACCTAGTCAGGTCAGGTCACATTGACTTAAGGGAGGAACACGGTAACCGACCTGGGAGCACAAGCTATCAGGTCCAACTCACACCCACCCACATCCACTCATGTATTTATCCAACCTATTTTTAAAGCTACACAACGTTCTAGCCTCTATACCCGTATTTGGGAGTTTGTTCCACTCATCCACAACTCTATTACCAAACCAGTACTTTCCTATATCCTTCCTGAATCTGAATTTTTCCAACTTAAAACCATTGCTGCGAGTCCCGTCTAGGCTAGATATTTTTAGCACACTATTTACTCCCCTTTATTTATTCCTGTCTTCCATTTATAACCTCAATCATATCCCCCCTAATTCTACGTCTTTCTAGAGAGTGCAAATTCAGGACCCTTAGTCTATCCTCATAGGGAAGGTTTCTGATACATGGGATCAACTTTGTCATCCTCCTTTGTACATTTTCCAGAGCATTTATATCCATTCTGTAATACGGTGACCAAAACTGTGCAGCATAATCTAAATGAGGCCTGACCAAGATGTATAGAGTTGAAGAACAACCTGAGGACTCCTATTTATGCTTCTTGATATGAAGCCAAGGATTCTATTAGCTTTATTGCGAACACTTATGCACTGTTGTCTTGGTTTCAGATTACTGCTAACCAGAACTCCTAAATCCTTTTCGCAATCCGTAATATTAAGATCTACATTATTTAGTTTATATGTGGCATGGTTATTGTCCTGTCCAACATTTAGAACTTTGCATTTGTCTATATTAAACTGCATCTGCCCACTTCTCCGACCACTGCATCAGTCTATTCAAATCTTCCTGGAGTGCTCTAATGTCCTCGTCAGAATGAATTCGACGGCCTATTTTGGTGTCATCGGCAAACTTGCTGATGTCGCTCTTTATGCCCTTTCTATGTCTTTTTATGTAGATTGTGAACAGCAGGGGCCCAAACACTGACCCTGTGGAACACCGCTCGTGACGCTTCCCACTCTGATTTCCCCCCATTTATGAAACTCTCTGCTGCCAAATTGTCAATCATGCCTCTATCTAGGAAAAAATTCTCCTCCTATTCCATGTGCCTTAATTTTCCTCAATAGCCTTGATGTGGGACCCTGAAAAGCCATAATACACAATATCATATTCATTATCATGATTACCTCCTCAAATACCTTAGTGAAAAAAGTTAATAAATTCGTAAGGCAGGAACGCCCCTTTGTTAAACATGCTGAGATTCGTTGATTAATTTATGCTTTTCAAGGTGGCTACGAACTGCCTCGGCAATTATTGATTCCATAAATTTTCCCACTAGGGAGGTTAGGCTTATTGGTCAAATGTTCGAAGCTAAGGACCGTCACCTGCTTTGAAAATAGGTATCACATTTGCCATTTTCACTTATCTGGCACCATGCCAGTTTGTAGTGATATGTTGAAAAGATTACCCAAAGGTTTTGCTAAGCTCTCTTTACATTCCTTTAAAAACCCTTGCATACAGTTCATTCAGGGCCTGGGATTGTTAGGTTTAATTTATCTATTTGCCTAAGGACCGTGTCACTTGTGACCCTAATCGTGCAGTTTATTATCGTCCTGTTCTACATAATTTATCATTTCTGGAATACGCTGGTATCCTCCGTGTAAAAACTGAGAGGAAGTATGTTTAAAAATTCTACACATTTCCTTATCACTGTCAGTGAGCTGACCCGAGGAACTTATGAGTGGGCCTATCTTGTCTCTGATCTTACTTCTGTATACCTGAAAGAATCCTTTTGGGTTAGTCTTCGATTCTCTTGCAACTTTAACCTCATAATCTCTTTTTGCTTTTCTAATTCCCTTTTTTATTTCTCTCTTTAACTGAATATATCGATTTCTTAATTGCTCCTCTCCTCTTTTGATTTGCCTATATATGCCTCTCTTTTGACCAATCAGATATTTTTAATTTTAATTTGATTATTAATTAGTGTTTCCCTACTGGCAAGAACCAAGTCAAGGAGGTTATTTCCTCTAGTTGGCTCTGTCACAAACTGCTTTAAAAACAATCCTGGATCGTATCAAGAAAGTCACCTGACTCTAAATTTTCTGTCAAATTGCTCCAGTCAGTCTGTCTATAGTTGAAATCTCCCATTAGCACAACATTTTCGTATGTAGATGCCTTACGAATTTCGTCCCATAGAAGTTTACTGCACTCCCTATCAAGATTTGGGGCCCTGTAAATCACACCCAAAATTAGTTTTTCTCGGCCCTTGAGAAGCTGTAACCAAACAGATTCAGTGGCCGACGCTTCTAACTTTATATCTTGTCTAACACAACAATTTAAATTGTCTCTGACATGCATCGCTACTCCACCACCCTTCCTGTTGACCCTGGTGGAGTGAATGAATGAGCGAGTGTATACGTACCAGAGTGAGTGCACTGGTGAGTGGATGATGGGAGACGAGGAGTGCAGCCAGAGAGTGTTCATCCTGGTGTGGTACACCCATCCTATCATCCTCCCCAGCCTGTTGAACACACACACGTTAGTACACTGTATGCGACACACACACACACAGAGGAGCTTGTGAATCGACCCCTGCAACCACAATTAGGTGAGTACACACACACACAACACACACACACACACACACACACACACACACACACACACACACACACACACACACACACACACACACAACACACAAACACGCAAACCACAAACAAACAACACAATACAACACAAAACACACCACAACAACACACACCAGGGGGTTGGGTCTTTAAAAATCACTAAAAAAAAAACTTAAAAACCCCGTTGGTGGGGTGACTTCCCGAAGGTGTCCGGGGGCTGCTAGGAAGGGGGGGGAAAAACCGCCCGATGAGGTCGTGGTTGGGTCGAAGGTGGAGTACCCGGGTGGTGCCCAAGGCCCGCAGGTACACGGTGCGTACTGGATCACCGTCCGCACCTCGCTTCAGCCGCGACCGCAGCCGCACCACGTCGTACGCCGGCGCTGTGGTTAGAAGAGATAGTGATATACATGGAGAGAGAGATGATTTTTGTTGGAGGAAACTGACATTATAATGATTTTTGTTGAAGGAAATTGACATTATGATTTTTGTTGGGGGAAAAATCTCAGTAATAATGAATATTACTGATGACTTGCATGTAAGTCGAGCCTCACAGAAAACTAGCTCAGAGCTGAACCGGAGGGGAGACTCACTAATATATTTTATTGTTATTTAATTACCGTATTGAGAAGGGTTGGATTGTATATAGTAACTAACGTCGCCTTCACTCGCTGGACCAGATCTTACGGGTTTGCCCTAGACCTGGACCAGGCGGGTCCGCAACAGCAACAATAACAACCTCAACAGTAACGGCAGAAATAACAACAGCAACAGTAATAACAGCAATAGCAACCACAACAGCAATAGTAATTGAAACAGTAACAAGAACAACAGCAACCACGACAGCAACAGCAGCCGTAACAGCAGCGACCAGAACAACAACAACAGCTACCTCAACAGCAGCAACAGCGAAAGTGACACCCGCACGAACACGCTCCCTTATCTCACCTCTGCCATCACTTTCCCCTGCCCTCTCTCTCCCCTGCCTCTCACACACACACACCCTTTCCCTTAATTCCCCCTTCCCTTCCCTGCCCCCTGCCCTTCTATTACCACTAGAAGGAGGTTCATGCACCTCTCCTTCCTTCCCTCCCTCCCTCCTTCATTTACCCACGAGGGAGGGTCAGCCGACCCACCTCCACAAACCTGTTCCACCATGGGTCGCGATACGGAAAAAGATGTTCCATTCTTTATTTCATTCTCCCTCTCCCTTTCTCCCTCCTTCCCTTCTTTACTGTATCTCACTCGTCCTTATATTTATCACTTGTTTACATCCACGTGTTCGAAACTTTCTAATGTTTCTGTAGGATACTGTGAATACGAGGTTTTTATGTGTACTCACCTAATGTGTGTGTGTGTGTGTGTGTGTGTGTGTGTGTGTGTGTGTGTGTGTGTGTGTGTGTGTGTGTGTGTGTGTGTGTGTGTGTGTGTGTGTGTGTGTGTGTGGTGTGTGAGTGTGTGTGTGAGTGAGTGTGAGTGTGTGTGTGTGTGTGAGCCTAACCACCACTATTCAAGGCACACACTCTACTCGAGATCAAAATTACCATCCCTAATTACCAATAGATAGCCAGTCTGAGTAAAATTAGGGCCCTATCGACTAAACGAGGGTCATTAAGACTGTATGGTACCTGCACACCACCAGTCAAAGTGGTGCTGGGTCGCCTTCGTCAGGACACAGGACAGTGTAGTCCCGTGACGTGGGTCTTCGTCAGATGATGGACCCAACACTGACTCATGTGGGTAAATGGTTCAGAGAACCGACAAGTTGATAAATTAGACAAATGCGCTACACGGTGGCTTCATCAGTCCCATACGAAGAAGAATGGTGAAGATCAGGGGTGTAAGGTAGTCAGTCTCTCAATCTTTTCAAGATTGCTGGACTGATCACACCGACTCCAGGCTGAAGGACAGATCACCTCAAACTCCTTGCTCTTCACCATTCTTCTTTGTAATGGACTGATGAAGCCACTGTGAGGCGAAACGTTTCCACAATAAAGATACCCAAGTGTTGACCATGTGTCTAATTTATCAACTGGACCCGTGACTGGTTCAGTATTCGCTGGCCCAACCCAGTGCCTTGGTCCATTTCTTACTTGCGGTTTACAAATTAGAGACTCGCTGTCTGTACCGAGTGTACATTACCGTTACTTTGATAAACACTACAATGTGCACTGTGCACCCTAGTGGTGCTAATGGTGGGATGTTGTGGGCAGTGGTGGGGGTGGTAGAGAGTCGTCACGTCACGGCCAGATGTTATGTTGACGTCCTCGTGTGTGTGTGTGTGTATGTGTGTGTAAGTTGTGTTTGTGGTATCTTGGAAGACAAGGAGTGGAGTGAAGGAGGGGAAGGACGGAGGAGGACGTAGAAAGGCAGGGGATGTAGGGGGAAAGGGAGGTAGGACGTAATAGCAGCATAACAGTAGAGAACGGGAGGGGGAGGATGGATGAGAAGTAAGCGGGGGTTGAAGGCACAGGGAAGGTAGCGTTGGGGAAGGGGAGTGTGGGGATGTGGTGGAGGGTGGAAAAGAGAGTGGCAGTAGAGGGGAGAGGTGAGCTGTGGGGATGGTAGGTGAGGTGTGAAGTTGTTTTGGGAGAGACAAGAGGGAGGGAAGGGAGGGGAAGAGGAGGAAAGGAGAGAAAGGGGGGAGTGAGGAAAGGGAGGAGGAACAGGAGGCAACAGTAGGAAAAAGGAGGGGGGAATGGAGGAGAGAAGCGGGGGTAAAGGGAGGGAAGGTAAGAGAGGTGGATAGGGAAAGGAAGTGAGGAAGGAGGGGAAAGAGGAGGAGGTAAGGAAGTGGAGAAGGAGGAAAGGGAGCGAGGAGGGAAGAGGAGAGAGGAGTGGGGAGGAGAGGTAAGGGGCAGAAGAGATGAAGGTGACGGAACAATGAGGACAGAGAAATTAGTGAGAGGAACAGGAGTAAGACAGGAGGAGAATAGGACACATCGGATGAGACGATGGTTGACAGGAGTGTTAGCAACCGGCCGCGTACAGAAGTAAATTGACAAGCAGGAGCCGAGCACTGGTAGATCATTGGCCTATGGAGCTGCTTTAGTTCCATGTCTGACTAAGCGATCTGTGCTGTTATCTGCTGTTGTCCTATGTCGGGTGTGTTGTAAGTGTGAGGTGGTGTGTGTGTGTGAGTGTGTGTGGTGTAGTGTGCTAAGGTGTATTCTAGTTGACGTGTTAATTTTGCACATGGAGATCCGCACAATCACCGTTACTCTTCATCTGTACGCCTCCTGCTCTCATACCCCACTCTCGAGTCACTGCAATCGTGATGTCTCTGTTCTCATCGTATTACTTAATGTCTGCCTGTAACTCTGCCTGTCTTCCGTCCCTCTGTGGTAGAGTTGTGTGTGTGTGGAGCGAGTGTGTGTGTGTGGTGTGTGTGTGTGGTGGTGTCGCTGTCAGCTGGAGACGTACGTTAGCCCTTCATTGTGTCTCGCTCCAACATTTCAGAGTCACTAAGGTGAAGACCTAGGGTGGAGACTGGTGGGGGCTGATGTGGGCTGATGTAGGCTGGTGTGCGCTGGTGGAGGCTGGTGTGCGCTGGTGGAGGCTGGTGTGGGCTGGTGTGGGCTGGTGTGGGCTGATGTAGGTGGTGGAGGCTGGTGTGGGCTGGTGTTGGCTGGTATAGGATGATGTGGGCTAATATGGGCTGGTATGGGCTGATGTGGGCTGTGTGGGCTGGTGTGGGCTGGTGTGGGCTGGTGTGGGCTGGTGTGGGCTGATGTGGGCTGATGTGGGTTGGTGTGGGCTGGTGTGGGCTGGTGTGGACTGGTGTGGGCGGGTGTAGGTGGTGTGCGCTGGGGTGGGCTGGTGTGGGCGGGTGTAGGCTGGTGTGGGCTAGTGTTGGCTGGTATAGGATGGTGTGAGATAATATGGGCTGGTGTGGGCTGGTGTGAGCTGGTGTGGGCTTGTATGGGCTGGTGTGGGCTGGTGTGGACTGGTGTGGGCTGGTGTGGGCTGGTGTAGGCTGGTGTCGGCTGAGGTGGGCTGGTGTGGGCGGGTGTAGACTGGTGTGGGATGGTGTTGGCTGGTGTGGGCTGAGGTGGGCTGGTGGGGGGGGGTGTAGACTGGTGTGGGCTGACGAGGGCGTGGGCATCCCAGGAGGTCCAGACACAAGAGATTACCATACCCAGCATGGAGGTCAGAGTGACGGGATGTGGACACTGTGGGCGGTGGGTAGACGTCGCCCACCCACCTGTGGTCAATCCACCCACCTGTGATCTGACTCTTAATACACCCACTCACCCACCTGTAAGGAGGCCTCTGCCCACCCACCCACCTGTAAATAGACCTCTGCCCACCCACCCACCTACCAGAACGGACAGTGGGTAATGGCTGAGGGAAAAGACAGATCCAGTGCCTTGGATCAAGAAGGGAAGCCTCTAACTCGTCCGCTGGACCTCAGTGATGGACCGCTAGGTCCACGGGCATAGTGTCCTGGGTACGATTCCTTGGAGATGCCCGGTCCAGTTACCTTACACCTGCTGCCACTCTGCACCTAATAGTAAATAGGTACCTAGGTGTCAGGTGACTGTTGTTGGTGGTTTGCCCACAGTGTGAGCAAAACCTTCTCAGTAGAGGAGCGTGTGACACTGACGAAGACACAGGTGCAACACCTGGGTGTATTTACTGAGAATAAAGATGCATAGGTGTTGTACCTGTGTCTCATTCATTAGTTTCTAGGTACCTGTATCCTGGGATAACCATGTTGGGTTATCTTGGGATAATCATATTGGGTTATTCTGGTCTAGGACCTGGAGGACCTTGTTTTAGTTCTGGAGGACCTAGTCTTGGACTTGGAGGGCCTGGTCTTATACCTGGAAGACCTGGTCTTGGACCTGGAGCACCTGGTCTTGGACCTGGAGGGTCTGGTTTTGGACCTGGAAGACCTGGTCCTGGACGACCTAGTCTTGGACCTGGAAGGCCTAGTCTTGGACCTGGAGGCCCTGGTCTAGAACCTGGTCTAGAACCTGGAGGACCTGGTCTAGAAACTGGAGGACCTGGTCTAGAACCTGGAGGACCTGGTCTAGAAACTGGAGGACCTGGTCTAGAACCTGGAGGACCTGGTTTAGGGAGGGAGGTGGAAGACCAGTCCTACTTCACCTGTACCTGAATACCTGAGAAGGCGACATTTGACGGTCAGTAGGTCACGGTGCCTTGATCTGTGACCTGACTGGTTTAGGGGTCAGTCTCATGTGTGTCACCAGGTCAGCTTGTCAGGTCTTGTTTGTGTTGGTGGTGGTAGTGGTGGTGGTGGTAGTGGTGGTGGTGGTGGTGTTGGTGGTGGTGTTGGTGGTGGTGTTGGTGGTGGCGGTAATGGTGGTGGTTGTGGTAGTAGTGGTGGTTGTGATGGTGGTGGTGGTGTTGTAGGTGG